TCACTTTTATTTTTATTTAAAATTAAAAAAAATTTTTTTTGTTTCAACTTTCTATTGAAATTCCGGGTAGCTAAAAAAAGGGGGGGGGATGGGAGGGGGAAAAATTCCAATTAGTTAACATATAGTAGCTTCACTTTTAAAGTGAAGGTGTTAGAACAGCTTCTAAATCCTCTTTCATCTCGAAGTAGTCTATTGATCTATGGTTCCAAGTGCTTTATAGTCAGTAACTGCTTGAGTGAGTGGGTGTGAAAATGAAAAACATAAAAGTATTAGAAACCATGATAAAGTAATGAGAAATTAAGAAGAAACATTTCTGACACTGCCCTATGCCATTGGCAATATGACTATTTTTAAAATATGACTTCCATTAAAATTTTTTAAAGTATAGTTATGGTCTAGAACAGTGCTGCCCAAAAGAAATATAATGCAAGCCACAAGCATAATTTTAAATTCTTTAATAACCACATTAACAAAATAAAAAGGAACAGGTTAAATTAATTCTAATAATATATTTCTACTTAACACAATATATCCAGAACATTATCATTTCAACATGTAATCAATGCAAAATTTATGAGACATTTTACATTCTTTTTTTTCAACTAAGTCTTGAAATGCAGTATTTTACACTTTTAACACATCTATATTTGGAGGAGGCACATTCTAGCATTCAAGAGCCACAGGTGGTGTGTGTCTACAATAATGGCAGCAAAGGATTAAAATAAGGGCAAAAAGCAAGAGCATTTTTCATCTTTGCCAGAGAATGAAGTGTTCCACATAAATAAGTAATCAAGAACTGAAGCTTTGCCTTTTCAAGCAAAGTTTCTCCTTTTATTCATTATTGATATCTTTCTAAAGCACAATACAAACCATAATGCTTTTTAAACAAAGGATTATTAAAAAAAAAAAAAACAGATTCTTCCCTTGATAAGGATCCACTAGTATTATGTTTGGGTTTTTTTTAAAGATTTTATTAATGGGACGCCTGGGTGGCTCAGTCGTTAAGCGTCTGCCTTCAGCTCAGGTCCTGATCCCAGGGTCCTGGGATCGAGCCCCGCATCCGGCTCCCTGCTCCACGGGAGGCCTGCCTCTCCCTCTCCCACTCCCCCTGCTTGTGTTCCCTCTCTCACGCTCTCTCTCTCTCTCTATCAAATAAATAAATAAAATCTTAAAAAAAAAAAAAGATTTTATTAATTTATTAATGAGAGAGACGGGGGGAGGGGGGAGGCAGAAGCAGAGGGAGAAGCAGGCTCCCTACTGAGCCCGATGCAGGACTTGATCCCAGGACCCCGGGATCATGACCTGAGCCAAAGGCAGACACTTAAGCGACTGAGTCACCCAGGCGCCCCCACTAGTATTATGTTTTATATTCTGATGCTGTTAGCTCCTGCATATGCATTTCGCCACTGCTACACTAGAAACCACCAGATAAACTGAAAACTATCCTTCCAGAACTGCCCAACTGTAGGGATGCCCATAAAATGCCTGGATTCTGGATTCCCTTGCTTTGGGGTCTGGCAGGCCACCTACCTAAAAGAGGGTGCCAGGGATCTTGTACTGAAAGAAGCCCATGCATAAAATTCCTCTTCGGTGTAGCCCCTGTCACCCCATCTCCCCCCCCAACACAAATCCTCATGCCGGCAATAGTCTCTCTCCACCTACTGTTCCCACCTCATCTCTTGCTTCACTCTCTATTCCTACTTCATCTGTTTTCATCCTCTGTCCCCATCTCATCTAGAAGTTCTACTTGCAGTGTGAACACATGCTCTGGTTTGCCAGAGTCACAGTCTATCCCCTGTCATCCAGCACAATTATGAACAGAGCCTCCTTGCATACTCAGAACTGCCCCAGTTTGGACAACTACACAGTTTATCCCAATCTAGTTGGGATAGTTTCTATCAATAAGGCCAGCTGAGTTCAATGATCAAACCCTGCCCAAAGGCACAAGCGGTCCTTACATTAAAATGGTACTTCACCTTAATTATCATGAACATTCCTTATTTCTGACACATTAGATCTTTCTCTTTAGTTACTCTGTCCCTTTTTATATGCTCTACTCCTGCTGGTTAGCCTGGAGTTCAAACTGTATCTTGGTAGATCTTAAGTCTCTACTGTTAAAAAAAAAACAAACCTGATCCCCTTACTTGCAGTCAACATCTTTCTGATTTGTGAAATTCTTGTCTGCTTCCTAATGCTTTGCAAGTTGTCTCATCAGTACCTGCTTCTGGCCTCGCCCTAGCAAAACCCGGATGCTCCAAAAGGGCTTTACAGCAAAACACAGATTCACAGCCCTCATCTCTTATGCCATGGCAACAGGAGTGAGAACACTTTGGTTTTCACAGAAACCGAACAATCTTTCAGGTGAAACACACCACCAGTCCATACTAGCTTATACCTAGTAACTGTAGGGATACAAAAAAAGGACTAGAAAAGGTAAGCAGCCTCAGTCCTGCAGGAGTGGAGGGGTGAAGGGAGCTAGGATAGCAGCAACCACTATCTCCAGCATCTCTGGGCCCGCAGCTTCTCCTGCGCTAGGTGCTCCGCAAACAGCACTTCCCTGAATCCTCACAAGGACATTAGGATGTTTCGTGCCTAAGCCCCATTTTACTGTCAAGGAAAAACTCTCAGATCTGTTCACTGATGCCAAAGAACGTAACAGCTTATGAGTGGCAGAGATGGGACTTGAGCCCATGTTAGTGTCTATGAAACCTGTCCTCTTTCTGTAGGTCCTCTGCGGCCTCAGGAATCAGCATCAGGGCTGGGGACAGTGTTAAAAGGAAACTTTTGATTTACGAATACATAATACCTGACTCCATATCTCTTTCTCAGTAAGAAATGTGTTTGCACTCCCGAGCCAGGAGGAGGAGGAGGAGAGAGAACACTCATTACAGTTTTCACTTCTTTCTGATTAGGATTTAATTAGAAAGCCTATTTCCTAGACCACTCAAACCCTCCTGATTTTGGTTTCACGGTTGTTGTTTTATTTTTCTTCCTTGTCTTAACTACCTGTATTTTATCCTCATTGTTACTGGATGATTTTAAGTTGCCAATTATTTTCTCTCAGCATTTTTAGGATACTGTTCTATTGTTTTCTGGCTTCTGCTGTTGTTCTGGTAAATAAGCAGTAACAGCTAGTAAATTAAACGAGTTAGCCGTCAATTCAGCAGGCACTGCTTTGTTGGCACATTTGTCTCTCGCGGCTGTTTCGGTATCTCCTCATTGTCTTTAGTGTTCTGCAGTTTTACTACAAAGAGTCTATGCATCGATTTCTTTTTATTTATCTTGTTTAGAATTGCTGAACTGGCTGAATTTGAGGATTTATGACATCTGGAAAATTCTTAGCCACTATCCCTTCACATGTTGCCTCTTCCTCCTTCTCACTACCACTTATTTCTGGAAATCTGATTACAAGTGTCAGATCCCCCACGTCTCGTGACTATTTGTCTACCCTTTTGTTTCTCTATGCCACATTCTGTATAATTTCTGCTGCTCAATCTTGCAGTTCACTGAGCTCTTTGGCTATTTGTGCTACATAGTTTTCAGCAGCTCTATTTTTCATTTCTAGAAGTTCTATTTGTTTTTATTTTTTTAAATTCAATATGATTATTTTTAATCTTGCTTTTTACTTGTTACTAATACATTTCTTTTAAAGATAACTCTTTGAAATATATTGCAAATATAATTATTTTTATTCTGTATATGAATAATGAAGTCCTGGGGGTGAAAATCTGCTCTTTTCTGCTGACCTGCTTCCTCATGTTGTCTAATTTTTTAGTGTGTACTAATAATTATCTGATGTGTACCTGTGGAAATCTTGAGGGTTTTAGGTTGAAAGTGTGTTTCACCATTAAAAATCTGTATCTACCTCTGCCAAACAGCCTGGGAAACCACTAATGAGAGGCCATTTTATTTTTTGGTTTGAGGTTTCTGAGACCACAAAGGTAGAATATATTTGAATTCCCAGTTCTCATGTAGGCAGGGCTGTGGTTACAAATTCTCAGAGGAAGCCTCTCTTTCCTCTCCCCCATCACCTCATAAACAAGGTCAGAGAAGACAAGATAACCTAATATCTTCCTTGTTGTTGGACAGACTTTTTTTTTTTTTTTTTAGCTTTCCCATTCACTGATCATATAGACCTCCAAGAGTCCAAGCCACAGGCAGCGGTCTCAGTTCCAACTCCCTGCCTTTACAGACCCACGATCTGGTCTTTCATCCCGTGTGACCATTAAAATTCCAGTGTGGCTCTTTAGTTCCTAATATCTAGATAACAGCTGGAGGGAAACAGAGGTAGCTTATCACCCTGGATTGCTGCTTCTACTTACCCTTTTTGTATGGGGAAATATCTGGAGATTTCTTTTTGAACTAATCTGCTTATTTTAAATGGTATCTGTTCTATTGGTGAAGCATTTTGAGGATGATCTGTCTTCCATTTCCAGAAAGGAGGAAGGAAACCAGAAGAGTCCTTTTACTAACTTCATGTCTCATGTGGACTAAAAGCCTAAGGAGCCTGCCATACTTTCTGATTACCCTGAGTGGTAACACAGAAGAACACACGACCGCTAGTACCAGATTATGTAAATGAGATAAAAAACAGTCAGGATGAGGTAAAAGTAGTCATTTAGAAACTTCAGTTAACATCATGTCTCCTGTTGGCAGTGAATCAGTGAACTTAGCAGTCAATTAAAAGGAGAAAGGAACTGGTTTACAAAGTAAATGGTTTACAAGAATTTCTACACACTAAAGGTCAGACTAGTATGCTTTTGGTATATACACATATTGCTTTTTTGTTCTGTAACAATGGGAAGAAAAAAAATAATCCTTTTTGAGGATCTATTACAGTCACAGTGAAAGGAACTTTATTCATGTTAGTTCTTAACCCTATCTATCACTGTACAGATTAAAACTGAGGCTCAAAGGTAGAAACTGGCCCAAAGAAGGCATGGCCAATAGGCCATGGAGCTAGGGTTCAAGTCTAGGTATGCCTGTTCTATTTCCCTACTGCTGATGGAGGCCTCTGGCAATAAAGCCTTGAATTACAAAACTCACTGAACTAATTTGTTTGACTCAGGTCAAACAAGCCAATTTATTCCTAATTTGAGTATCAAAGTCAGGAGTTATTCAAAAGAAATGACTACCATTCCTTCCATAGTAAAGAATTGCACATCTAAAATTTTCAGAGGGTGCTCTTCTGAAATAAGCTTAGGAGGTAAAGAGGTGACCTCCAACACCATACAGATTATAGAGTCAGGTCACAAGGTAAGGGGAAGAAATCGGTGTATTTTAAAAGTACCTTAAAATCAGAACATGGGTTTTCCATACTAAAGGAGGGAGAAGGTTCAAGGCAAATGGGAGACAAAGCTGGAAGGAAAAATTTCACTGTACAAGTTGTTATATCTTCTGATTTTTGAGTCATGTGAATATATTGCATATTCAAAGAGAAATTCTAAAAAACTAGTCTAAAAGTCAACTCTAACCAAATGTTCTGGCTGATCTATACAATGAGAGAATAAAAGACTAATGAAAACTATATAAGGAGTAAATAAAGTTGGTTCACTTCCATAATGCTCATTCCTCACACTATGGGTGTTTCCTCAAAACATGTCAAAATTTTAAGGTAATGTCATTGCTTCATTCTAAAGAACTAAAGTAAAATCTTTACAGGGCCAGACCAAGAGGCCAGTGAAAAATAAGAACAATACAGTGATTTATTTAAATCTCTCTGTTGAAATCTAAGGGAAAAAAAAGTATATGCGTGTCACAGGTCACTGCGGGTTAGCACTGGCACCGCTTACCTTTAGGAACAGCGGGCTTAATGGCCATTCTGCCAACCAGGCATTCTTTCAGCATGGATTCGTAATTGACCCAACGATGAACCTAGTACGGGATATAAATGAAAGAAAAGCAACATGACTCTAACTCCATGAGATGCTCTAATTTTAGTCTCAGCAAAACTAACCATTCTTATAGTGCTCTGAAAAAACTAAGAAGCAGATTCAATTAGCCAATAAGGGAGTGACAGGAAGGCAGCATACATAGGGATTCTTTAGAACAATGTTCTCTAAGTGTTGTTTACAGACCTCTGGAGGTTCTTGACAGCCTTTCAGATATCCATGAGGTCTCAATTAGTCTCATAATAATACTGAGATGTTATTTGCCTTTTTCACCAATGTTGACACTTGCACTTATGTGGAAAAAGCAATGGTGGGTGAAACTGCTTGCATGTTGGCACGAATCAAGGCAGCAGTCTCAATCTTAATATTCTTCACCATCACATACCCATGCAGGTCAGGGGGGATTGGTTTCATTTAAGAATATCCTTCATGAAGAGGCACCTGGATGGCTCAGTCAGTTGAGCATCTGACTCTTGATCTCAGGGTCAAGAGTTCAAGCCCTGCATTGGGCTCCACGCTTCACGTGGAGCCTACTTTAAAAAAAAAAAAAAAGAATATCTTTCATGAAGTAGAAGAAAACAATTTTCTTAAACCTCAATGCTTGAGTGTAGGTCTTGTTTACATTCTGTGTAAATGTTTTCAAAAACATTTCTGCTGCAAAGTAAGATGGTCACCTTGAGGAAAAACACCAAGGTAATTATTTTTTTTTTTTAAAGATTTTATTTGAGAGTGAGAGAGAGCACAGGCGAGGCGGGGGGGAGCGCGGCAGGCAGAGGGAAAAGCTGGCTCCCGCTCAGCAGGGAGCCCAACATGGGACTCAATCCCAGGACCCTGGGATCATGACCTGAGCTGAAGGCAGATGCTTAACCACCTGAGCCACGTAGGCAACCACCAGGGTAATTACTTGATTTGCAAACTGAAGTGAGCTTTTGTCTCAGAAGGCTCTTTATATGTAAAAGAAAAAAAAGACTGATAAACTGGTTATTCAGACTTGGGGTATCTGACAGACATTTTCACGAAAATGAACAGATTGAGACTGTCACTTCAAGGAAAACAACTGACAGTTTTTGTTGCCAGACTCACCAGTAGGAATTAAATTTAAATACCCTCTGGAGACACCTTCTCAATATACATTAAAAGCCTAAAAATATGCAGCTCTTTCACTGAGTAATTCATGAATTTACCTGAGAAAATACTCACACATACACAAAGATGCAGGTACCAGGATATTCATCATAGCACTATTTATATTAGCAAAATATTGGAAATAATCTAGATGTCCAAATGTAAAAGACCAGTAAAGGAAAACTAATATATTATTCAATAAAATATTAGACCATCAGTAAAATAAATAATCAGGTCAAATAATACTGACATGAGAATCTTTGTGTATGCTCCTAAGTAAATAAATACATACTAAAATAGCAAATACATAATATGTAATTATAAATGGGCACTCATTTATTAACAGAAATTGGTAAATCCCATTTACCAAATATTTATGGAACATCCAGTGATATGTAAAGCAATATCCCTGGGGCTATAGCGTTGGGTAGAATTATATAGATAAATGAAGGAGAAAGATACTCAAGGAGGCAAAAGTATGAGGTTTGTTAATCATGGAAGCACTTGCTCAAAGCACTTCAGTTCGCTCAAAGCAAAATGCATGTTGAAAATATTTGCCTTAATACAGTCTTTTAAGGCCTCAAAGGCCATGCTAAGGACTCTCAATTTATCCCACTGTCAATGGTGCGCCTCTAAAGAGTTGTAGAACAAGGTGCTAAGACGACTGTCTTAAACAATACTCATCCAGCTGTCATGTTATTTACATTGGTACTAAAGGCAAAAGTATCAGGGCAGTATTAAAATAGCAGGGCCAGAGAAGGTGATAATGACTTCATCTAAGGCAGTGGGAAGAGAGGAAAGGATGTAATGTTTAAAGACAGCATCAAGGGATTTCGCTAGTGACTGGATACTGGTGCACAATGAGGAAGGCAAAGATTACTCAAGTGGCTTCAAGTCCCCATTACCAAAAACAGGAAACAGAGGAGGAATAAAAGGGAAGAAGATGAGTTGATATTATTTGAAGGCAAAACAAGCTGAAATGCCTATGGGTAATCAAATTGCCCAACAGCATTTGGAAATAAAAAACAAGAGGTCAGAAGCAGGATCCAAAGTAGAGACAGAAATCTGACAGTAAAAAGATTACTTAATATTCTTTGTACAACTCAAATACTAGCCTTGAATAAATTCTCAAATATTTAAAGATACAAGCTTCCCCACAGTTTCTAGAATATAAAGTTGTTTACTTCTGAGGTAAGTAAAAGTCTTAAATAAACATCACTGGTCCTGTTAAAGCCAAGGGGAATGCAGCAATCTGGTAACTAACATACTGTTTAAACTGCTAAAGAATTTAACAACATAGCAGTTCTTGTGACTTCTCCAAAACTTAAATAAGGTTTACTTAAATAAGGTCCATATAACCTCATGACCCTGAGATCACTTCTGTAACCTCCTGAGGCTGAATATACTCTTCCACAAGAAGAGTTTCCAGTAAAATCTAGGTTACAGAATAGATATAAGAAAAAAGTATGGCAGACAATTTTTCACACAAATATTCCCAAACTTTTCTATTTAGCTTGCATTGCTAGATAATAACAAATACCAAATGACAATGGGAATTTGCCTTAAATCAGCAATAAGAACCTCCCCAGGAGAATGCTATTATGACCAATGGCCAAACATGACTTTCTTCCAACCCACGAAGAACATGAACAGCAAATGGGATTCTGCTATTTAAGCAGATGCACCTCAGTACATTTAAATATAAAACAAACTGTATTTCTGGCAACCTGGTCAAAAAATAAATCCTAAAATAGATGAGAAGGTAGGAGGAACAGAAATCAAATTATATTTGTTCAGGAGTCAACTCGGGGCACCTGGGTGGCTCAGTCGGTTGAGCATCTGACTCTTGGTTTCAGCTCAGGTCGTGATCTCAAGGTCATGAGATGGAGCACGTTGGGCTCCGTGCTCAGCAGAGAGTCTGCTTGAGGATTCTCTCCCTCTGCCCCTCTGCCCACTCGTGCTCTCTCTAATAAATAATCTTAAAGAAAAAAAAAAGTCAACTCTAAAAATAACCCAATCTCATTCCACTATCTCAAATGGTATTAAAATCCCCGTACCACAACATGGATCATCATCACTAAAATACAAAATAAAGCATATGTGAGACAAAGGCAAATTTCTGTTCTTCTCAAGATTGTTGTTTCAAAATAACAGTTCAGCCTATTGATAGCAGTTAACATACTCTATGTAACTTTTAAGTAGTACAAGAGCTAATGTTTATTTTTAGTAAATGTAAGGGGAAAGATGACTAATTTAAATATCTTTTGAAATATACATATAAAATCTCTGCTACCACTCTAGGAAAAATAGATTTTTCTATTCACTAATCATCTAACTTTCTACATGATATGCAGATTCAGTATAGCAAGACAGGCCGGTTATTTAACATTCCCCAAATGAGAAAAAACTAAGCACAGAGAAGCTAAGTGTCTTGTTCTTTCTTCTAATTGTTACTGCCTCCCATGACCCAATCATCATCATCATCATCAGAATCAATCAAAACCGAGTAAACAGCTGTCAGCAGAGGAGACAGCAAGCACTTGACAGTAGATGCCCAGATACAGATTTGAAACCAGCTCTAAAATTACAGTAAAATAATTCAAAGGCAAATTAAACAAACAGTTGTTACTTATGAGCATCTTCCTACATTTCAAAATTCAAGCCAACACATGTGAAATTTGTACAGCTATTTTCTTTTTTGACTACAACTATCACACTGCTAAATCTAAGAGAACTCTTCCACTGTAATACTCATGATTACCTTCACCACCTTACCTGATCGAAGAGGTCAGTGCCATCAGATCCTGCTGCTCTCATTAGTTCGTCTTCTCCACCAGGATGATACTCCATATATGGGCTGACATTATAAACAAACCCTATCAAAGCAAGGGCAAATAATATCCTAAATGAACTTCTTAAAAGTTGTACAAACTAGAAATGTAAGCTCCAATAAATCTTTTCAAATACCTCCTATTTAACAAATCATTATTATTTCAAAGTATTAAGTACATCAAGGCTCTCAGATTTCATCAGACTCACAAGCAAACAAGTTAGCCCGCCAGTTTCATGGGTCCTGGGCAGAAAACGTCAGACGCAAAGGATAATTTAGTACTCATATCACTAGCAGTAGCTACAATATCAGCATTTGCGTGAGTTCCCTGAACCCCGATTCCTACAGACCTATGTGAAGAGGGCCACATACTACCTGTGCACTACTGTGCTGTATGACAGGAGGAGAACTCCGAGTTTAGGCAAGCCGAAGTTTTTAGAGTGGGCAGGAAGTGGGTGGGTGCCCTTTGTTCTGGGGGGAGACATCATCTTTATTATACCAAACAGTAGGCAAGCCTGTCCTTTACTCCAGAGGGAGTCTCGAGTTCTACTACCCAAGGTGGTTTACTATGCCAGCATCCCTGAAAAGACTGTCCAGAACAAAGACAGTGAGCGTTTCTGTTTGTAAGATGGGCAGATATCCGAAAAACCTAGAGCGAACTGCCTCCTAACACAAATAATGAAACACTGTTCATGATTTTTAAAAGTTCTCTCTCTCTACTCCATCACCCTCTACTGCCCTGGTAGGAAAATCTGATGAAAAAGAATCAAACCGCCACCCATGTGTCCGATCATCTCAGCGACCGCTGGGCAAGCAAGGGTGACTGAGCCACTGAGGCATGCCCTGAGAAAGCAAGCACAATCCTTCTCTGCAGTTGTCCAAGGAACAAAGATTCTTGCTGAGATCTTAATAATCCTTTTATCTTCTCCAAACATTTATCTCATCTGTTCATACATTTAAATATTATCTTTATCTTAAAAAAAAAAAAAAAAGAATAGGGAGCAACAAATGGAGGAAAATTTGCTCAATGAATAGCCTTCCCAAGGAAATGAATTGCTTTTTAATCCTTTACTTGAAAACTAGACAATAGACAAATCCAGCCCTGAAGACGCCTCAAGGTACAATGAGATCAACTGGTTTTCTTATATCCTGACTATTCTCTCCTTATGCTATGACTTCCATGAATTTAAATAACTTTAGGTAACTTAAAATTTTCATCCTATATGATAATCTTGGGAGGAAAGAAGAGATTGGATTTCAGGCCCAAAAAGGTATTGTATAGTTTTTCCACAAGTGTAATTTTAGAGACTAACCAACCAGGTAGATTTCTTTAGAAGATGGCTTAAAAGCAATTTAGGCAACAAAAAGAAGTAAATTCACAAAATCTCTTTTAGCAGTCCTCCAAGTAAGTCTGAGGAAAAAAAAAAACCAACCAAAACGACTGGTGGAGTTCTCTCCTTTCTCTTCCCTATCCACCTTCTCTACCAAATTTGGAAGGAATTTTTCCTATTGTTTAATGCTTAAAATCCACAGACCACAAATGCCAGAGGTAATGATTAAGGGTCAGAATTATTCCCAATAGGTTGTTTTTTTGGGTTTTGTTTTTGTTTTTAAGATAGAATGCCTTATTTGGAATTCCAAACCTGCTTGGCCACCAAATCTCAACTGGAGTTTCTCAAGAACATGAAACTTACCACACACAATCATGAACCTTCTGTGATAGAATTTCATATTTCAGCAACTGGCAGAAAGATAAACAGAGAGCTTTGCCAGTTATCCATAATCAGCATATAAAGCCTAGAACATCCCACATGTGTTCTCTTCGACCTCTCAACCCTTTAGATTGACCCTTATCCTCTCATATTCTCACTCCAGACCTGAACAGCTTCCATGCTCTTCAAATGGACAAAACTAGGAATGCCTATAAAATCCCCCACTGTAAGGAATTGAGACTGTAAGTGTCTCAGTCCAAGAAATGTTAGATCCAACCACACTTGGCAGTGTTAGTAACTTGTTAATTATGAGACATAAACCCAGCTCCCAAAAAGCAACTGATGTTTTTCCTCTGGTGCAAAGGCTCTTTCTTCTCTCTTTTTCTTCCTCTATCTTATCTCCTTCCTTTTCCCTTTTCAAAAGCATTTCCTAAAACTAAAACCTGAATGTGGCAGAAGAAAACAAATGCGAAGAACCTAACTTTATGCTTTTCTTTCATGCTGCATTGTCTTCTACTTGTACTATACATGGTTTTTAGACAGTAATCTCTAGCCTAGAGCCTCCCATGGATTCTTACCACCTGGTTTTTGAAACTAATTTTGCTCGCATCTTTCTAAATTTTGCAATGACACAATTAACTTCTTCCTATAGCTCTAGTTGCTCAAGTATCACAGATTTGTACAACCGATTGCCCATTAAATATAAATACATGGTATTTAGGGACCCACAGACATAATCTCAACTTAATGTTAGGCTATTAATGAATTCTGTAAAACCTAAACCCTAATAATGACATTAAGAACAAAAATGGGCAGGAAGGGATTCATAAAACACCAACCTTGAATGGCACAAAACTGCTGTGACCAAGATCCTCTGGTCACAGCCCAACTGGTGCTTTAGATCATTTACATGGGTCACCTTCAGTTGCAGAGGGGGCAGTTAGGCAGAATATCTACTGATCAATCACTCTATCTATCCATCCATCCATCCACCCATCTTACCTACCCATCCTGATATTTTATTTTTTTTAATTCTGACCAGGAGTAGATACAAGGATTGACTGAGTACTGTTAAGAAGAGCAAGTTAATTTTACAATATACAGACATACCAATCATAACGTTATACACTCTAAACTTATAAAGTGTTATATGTCAATTATATCTCAGTGTAACTGAAAAAATAAATAAATACGAACAACTTATTAAAATTAAAATACAACAGTTTTATTAGGAATATCTACTCTAATGTTTAAAGACAACACTTTTTAAATGCCCTAGCAATATTCAGGGGTACATATTTTAGCTAATTCATCCTAGCTGAGCTGCAGTGCAACTGAAAGCACACGTTCAGAACAACAGCTACACTGAGTTCTTTATGTAATGTACTGGTAGTACCTGTTCTAGTATTTCCAAAGTAAATTATCTCTTATGTTATATGTCTGGAACTCTGAGCTCTCAAATAAGTTCTTAGAATAAAAATTACTCAATTTAAAATTACCACTTAGTGCTTTGTATCATCAGAAACTTATACTGCCAATTCAAGCACTGAATGATAGCGTCTTAAGACTGGGAGAACTCTAAAGGCAATTTTTAGTCTGATTTCTGACCCAGTACAGGACTTACCTCTCTAAGACCTACAGACAGACCATCATCCAGCATCTGCTTGAAGAGTACCAGTGTCTAGGAGCTCACTGCTTATTTAAAGACTTAGTTCAAGGATCAATATCATTTTTATACCTAAAAACTAATGTTGCCATTTTACACACAAAGAACTCTTCTCCATCTTCGTAAATGCTGCCCCTCGTTTTTCACATATACTTTTTATATTGTAATTTAAACCCTAACTGCTACTGCTAAAGACTAAGGCATCTTACAACAAAATATTTGTGTGTAAAAATTTTAAAAACCCACAACAAAACGTGCAAAAGAAAATATCCCAGTCGCCTAACCCAACTAACAATGTTCCTATGACTGAGCATTAAATGTCATCCTGAATTCCCTAGAAGCCAAGGCTAAAAAGAGACACTACTAACACTAGTTGCATTATCTGATCTTAAAAAGTGTTAAAAAGAAACAAACAAAAGGAGACGCCTTACTTCTTTAAAAAGGAAAAAGCCCCTTTGAGTTTTTGATGTTGATATTGTGAGGAACACGAGTCCCTGTATAGGGGTCACTGACCACACGACAGATGGTATGATTTAACAATATGCAAAAACCTTCTTCAGGCAACATTCCTACCATCCTCGCCAGCCCTAAGTTACCACGAATGTATGTTCTGTCTCTTGAGACTAGCAAATTTGGGGCATTTCATATAAATGGAAGCATACGATATAGGGTCTTTTATTTGCCTTCTTTCACTGAGAATAATATTTTCAAGGTTCATCCATGTTGTAGCATGTGTCAATACATCATTCCTTTTTATGGCTGAATAATATTCCATGTATGGATAGAGCACACGTTTATCTGTTCGTCAGTTTATTGACATTTAAGTTGTTTCCACTTTGGGGTTATTAGGAATAATGCTGCTGGGCGCCTGGGTGGCTCAGTTGGTTGGGCGACCGCCTTCGGCTCAGGTCATGATCCTGCAGTCCCGGGATCAAGTCCCGCATCGGGCTCCCTGCTCGGCAGGGAGTCTGCTTCTCCCTCTGACCCTCCCCCCTCTCATGTGCTTGCTCTCTCTCATTCTCTCTCTCTCAAATAAATAAATAAATTAATTAATTAATTAAATTAAAAAAAAAGGAATAATGCTGCTGTGAACATTCATGCACACATTTTTGTGTGGACATATATTTTTATTTATTTCGAGTCTATACATAGAAGTAAATCTGCTGGGTCATCTACAATTTATGTTTAACCTTTTGAGGAACTGCCAGAATGTTTTCTATTCCCAGCAGCAATGTGGGAAGCTTCCAATTTCAGAGCACTCTTTTTCAGTCACCACTCCAACTTCCCACAGACAGAAAAAGCCTTTTCCCAACCACAGAACCTGAATCACTTATCTCAGATAACTGAACTCACAACTGGATTGCAGTAAGCTCCAAGTCATTCTCAACCCCAGCTCTGTATCTGACACCACAATGTAAGCCTCAAGTGACATTTATACCTATTAATCCATCTCCCAGATGAGGCTCCCACAATTTTTCAGGTTAAGTAACTACATGTGAACTGTAACAGCCCACTGATAAGGAGTGAACTGCATCCCCATGGTTTGAGGCCACACACGCATTGATAATTTGTCATTTTCTTTGTTCTATTTTACGTCAGAGATTCTCAAAGCATGATCCAGAGCTTCCTGAGGGAGCTTCAAAGTCTTTTGGTGGGTGGTCCAAGGCC